CCCCCATCACTGGATCATACACCTATGGAACGCATTCCCACCTCCCTGTCGTTTGGTATTAGATCCTACCGGGTACACTTATACTGCTGGGTGGAGCGACACAACCATAGATAATGTGCCTTGTCATAGGGCACAAACAACTTGCAAAGTGTTTCGAACTCCGACCTAAAGTCTAAACAACAAAGGATGCGCCAACAACTTTCTACGGTTATTTTCTGCTCGTTTGCCCAGCCTTCGTGACTCAAATCAAACATTACAGTACACAATACAAAGAATAGAACATTAAACATTAAATTAACGTAAAACTAATAAAAATAACATTAATAGCCACTGAAATAATGACATTTAAAGAAAAATAATACAACTAACTATAACTATACAATTAACATTAACACTAAGAAATAATGATATACATAATACAAATCATGATAACAGTAAGAAAATAACCATCTTGATACATCAATTCAGCATAAACAGAATTTAAACATAAGAGTTGTCACAAATTACAGCCAACATTAATTTATGACGCAATGTCAAACAGGTCACCATGATTGGGTGCATCATGGGATGAGAGATGACTATCAGTCGACCCAGGTCAATTAATAATCCATAGGCAAGCATGTAAGACGTCCTCCAAGATATCTACTACCTCATTAGCATATATTTAACAGCATCCTTGATTCGTCATGATTATCAGTGATGTATGTGACATACCAAAGGCATGTTGATTAAAGAGATCTACATAAATATTATTGGAAATAAATCGCACATAAATTTAAACAACTGAAATTTAGACTTACTACAATTGCTTGCGGGACTCTCCACTGAAGAATAGAAAGAAATATATTCATAAGTTGGTCCACATAGTGAAATACAGTAGTATTAGTAAGTATTGTTGTAGCATGAGTTAATATACTATACAAACAAATCATATGATACAGGTATTCACAAAGTAATATAATATTTGCATCAATATATAAAGAATATTTATAATTGTAGTAAAACGTTGAGTATTAAGTTATAATGAGCATTAGTATAAAAATTAATATTCATGAGTTCCAGCTCTCACAGTACATACGGACATTATAGTTTATAATAAACAACAGAAGAGATTTTAAACACAAAGAATTTCGTATATCTGTATTAGCAAGCCTAAAACATTTAATTTATGCATACCATTAATATTATTAATCCTCATCAGTGAAGTATTATTGGTTTGTGTGATGAAAATATCACATTTTGAGGGTTTTTTAATAACACAAGAAAATATTAAACATAAGTATTTCTATAAGGAGATAACATTTAAAAGTGCAATCATTAAGGATGCGTTGTTGAATAACACTACAAAATTGTAATACTTTACAATACAATTAACATACTGTTTGTAAAAAAAACTTTGTTAAAAAATAATTTCCAACACACAATAAAGTAGAGAAATTGTACTAATTACAGAAGGGAGCAATACCACCAAATACCAAGTCCATGGGCTTTAGCATGTGAGTAAAAAAAAAATGGCGTGTCAGACGATTCTGACCCAGGACCCTGGGATTAAAAATGACTTTAACCTTTAAGCTACAGCTCTTGTACATCAGGCTAAGGAGGGAGAAAAATTGATACATTGTACAACTGTTCCATGACAAAAAAAGGTATGAATTGACCAAAAAATCTGGATCGGAATGAGATACATATTATTGAACATAATGGGGGAAATAGGGCTTAAAACTACCCTCTTTTACACCTTCCCCCAGTTTTTTGTTTGTTTTTCAATAAGCTGTATCTCATTAAGGGTGGGGGTAGGGGAGGGGTCACCCATAATTATCAACATTTTAAAAACGTTACAAAACATGCGTTAAGGGGGGAGGGGGTTTGAAATTGTAGGCATACAGTAAGTACTTATTTTTTTTATAGAAAAGACTTGATCTGCGCTACTGCTAATAGTATATTGTTAGCCAAGAATATATACTACCCTCTTTTACACCTTGCCCTAGCTTTTTTATTTTTTTTTCAATAAGCTGTATCTCATTAAATTATCAACATTTTAAAAACATTACAAAACATGCATTAAAGGGGAAGGGGGTTTGAAAGTGTAGGCATACAGCAAGTACTTATTTTTTTATAGAAAAGATTTGATCTGCACTACTGCTAAATAGTATATTGTTAGCCAAGAATATATACAATATGTGTGATATAGGTTCGGGTTCAGAAAATAATTGGTGACGTAATATGCCACAAATAAACGTTTTATTGTGGACTCTTTGTGGGGTGGGGAGGGGGGATTACAGAAAAGAGTATGTTTTGTACTCTTATGAAAATGATGAAAAATGGAAAAACTTGTTAAACTGTTCCTGTGTTTTTCGTCAAACACCATTTTTTGTAGCTTTGAAAAATCATTTGTTCAACATATAATATTTTTTATTCTCCTGCAGAGCTTGGCTTTAAAAATTGAGCTGCAGAACAGTATTAAATCAAAGCTCCTTATACGATAGAGGAATAACAATCTGTGACATATATTGATGACTCATGCATTAATCTTGCACTACAAAAAATAAATCAAAGTTGGTCATCATCAAAAATGTGTCTGTCCATTTCAACAGAAAATGTTTGTCCATAGCTTGTGTTTGTTTGAAACAAATCTGATCAAATAAAAAATATAGAATATTATAATAACAAACACAATGAAAACAATAATAATTTAATATTAATAACAATAAATTAATAACAATAACAAACACAATAACAACAATAATAATAATAATAACAATAATAATAATAATAAATCATATCAAATAAATATTATATTTTAATGTCTGATCAAATAAATTGTTAGGTGATATCACAAAATGACTCTTCCAAACATAAACAAGTTTTGATTAGGTTTATTTATAGTTACATTGTAAAGCTTTATTGGTCTTTGAATTAATTTCCTAGGTTAGAGAATTAACAGAATTAGACTATTTTGAAATGTGTGAAGTCTCGCCACAAAATGAGTTGCATCATTGGTGAAGTCATATATTTACTACAATAAGTCAAAGTCAAAATTTTGATTTTAATGTTTCTGAATAATTAATCTGTTACTTTATGATAGTTTACTATGAAAGTGAATTTTCTTATTATATAAGTGTTTTCTGTGCATATTCTGTATTGCTAGTCTTATCACTTGTTTAACTAGGTATGGCAAAACATCACTCCTATTCTTTGATAACCATGACTAAATATGGGCATACAACGGTTTCTTTCAAAGAAAATTTGATAGTGTGAACAGGGCTTTTATAAATCCCCTGTTCACACTATCAAATTACTGTATATTTGATAAAAACATGTGACATGCCTAAATACAGTCCTGATGACATCACATTATGACCATACATAGACACATCATGAATTTTATACAATAATATAGGTATACAACTGTTTTCTGTTAGAAGAAAATATGATAGTGTGGAGTTTAAGTCTGATCAAACCTTTCTATGTCTGACAGACAAGTATGATGGTGCGTTTCCGGCTTAGTTTGCTATCCCTCCATTATCTCATGCAATATTTAAGACATAGAAAAAGTTAATGGTTATACAATTGCTCATTATTCTCTCATCAAATAAGTAATTATCAATGCAAGTATCATGTTATTGCATTTACAAGTGCAGCAACAAAGATGCTTGAAGCATTCTGATTATCCAGTGATGATACCTTAAGATAAAAACTGGTGTGGCAATACTCACTTTTATATTCTAAACTAAATCACTTAACCAACACAGGCAGTGCTAAGAAATATTGGTAGTAACAAAGCTAGCAGCTACGAGGGTTAACAGACCGACTATCACTTTAGGAAGTAACCTGACAACTGAATAGCATAGGTGAGATGTGCCTGTCCACTTTATCATCTGCCAAATATGGGCAGAAGACGGGGCATTTGATAAGCTGTTGCCAACACTGCGAAAAATGTTTTTATTTGAAGGTAGTGGTGTGGAAGGAGACACAAAGGGGCAAGTGAGATGGCATGATGGTCAATGAAACAGCTTGTACACTGTAGCATCAGTATAGACAGCCTAGCCAATGTTGCATACTGTATCAGGGCGAAAATGTTTAGAATTAAGGAATTAACTAACACTGGATCAATTGTATTAATATCGGAATCATCATAATCATAGCAATATTATAATGTACACTAGTGAATATTTTATCATAGCAAATACTGTACCTGTGATTTCACCATGTATGATGACCATGCCAAACATATATGAATGATATGAAATCATGATGTCCATATATGAATATGACATCATACCTAAATATTAATATATATGACAACATGATGTCCATATACCATATGAATATATCATGATGTCCATATTTGAAAATAACATTGATGTCCATATATGAAAATGATAACATTATGATGTCCATATATGAAAATGATAACATTATGATGTCCATATATGAAAATGATAACATTGTGATGTCCATATATGAATATTATTACATCATCATGTCCATGTTATGAGGAATTTACATTATTTGTCACATAAAACTTAATAGAAAAAGCATGGACCTATTAATAGGTCCCTCGAAAAAACTAGAAAAAAATATTAGGAGTACTAGAAATAATAATATAACTGCTGTTAGTAATGAAAAGATTTTAACATTATGTAGTAACATTGGACCACAGAAGAAACCAAAAAAATCATGATTCACGGAGAGACAAAAAATATAAATATTTTTTTGTGAATGAATATGACTGTACAACCTGTTGATGATGGCATTGGTACATTTGCAGGTGGATTGACCTTTTGTTGCGGTGCGCATGCAGAATTATCCTCTCCACCGAACATGAACGTTGAAGCTTGATTACGTTTTTGATTAGCTGATCGCTGAGCAGCAACATCAGCTGCAGAATCACCCGTCCCAAAGCCTAGAGTGCTGAACGAGCTAGAGTCACCTACGGGACAAACATTGGCATGCAGTTCACATTCATACTATATCATGCAGTTAGTAATGTATATTACGTTTAATCAATTTCTATCCTAAATAGAGGGACTTGCCTCCAAATATAGGCATGGCATCACATAATGACCATATATGGGCACATCATGACTATATATAGGCATACATCAGAGCTTCATGCTCTAAAAGCCTCATCATTCTAGGCTAAAGCAGGGCATATACTGTACTACAAAATTTGTCATATTCAAAAAGGATTTATCAGACTTTATCTGATACCATAGTTGCAGACAGGCTAAAGCTCCATCCAAACTATCATATATTATGTTGAAAAAATTCCTGATGATGACATAATTACAGTAGTCGAATTACGTTAAAAAGTTGTGTAATTTGGCCATATATGGGCATGGCAGTGTTATACTACAACCAAATATGGGCATATCACATTTTTTGTCACAAAAAATTTAACATTATATAATCAAATCAAACAAATTGACAGTGTACAGTTAGGCCTGGTATTAACAGGATTATTACAAGATTTGAACGTAAAATATTTTTAGGATTTCAAGTCGGGGACTGTGCTACATTTCCATTCTACAAGATTATAAAATATTGCAACGATGTTAGTGACATGCAGTACATATTATAAAAATTAACAAAAAATAAATGTTTAATTTAAATCTAATTCATGAAATCAGTCATGCAAAAATATCTCATACTAAAAAACATGCAGTTTTGGCTACTGGCAATGCATCATGCAAGGGGTCAGCATTCAGGATGAGAGAGGGTAAATATAAAGAGTGGTGAGAAGGTGAGGTGAAGGGGAAAGACTATCCATTGAAGCAGCATAGGGATGTATATGGTACAGTACAACATAAAATTAGGTAGGTGTTTGCAATCATCAAACATTTTGATCATAGGAAATACAAAATAATTATCAACAGTACATAGAATACATAATTATAAAAGATCTTGTACATTTTTTAAAAACAAGTATCTATAAGAAGAACAAACTGAACTCCAAAGAAAAAACAATCAGAGAAATAAAAAACAATCAAATCACAAGCAATTCTTCTAAACATAAAATATTTGGAAACAAATTTACTATTAATGTCAACAGATCAGGATCAATGAAATAGCAACAAAATGAAATTGAACAATTAAGGGCATACACAATACAAACTAGTATGAACGTTTTTATTCAACAAGAAATATTTCAGGATCGTAAGTGCTCGAATAAGCGCAGCGGCACTTATAACAATTTCGGAGGCTTCAGTGCGGCGCTTATTCGGGAGCGGCGCTTATAAAAAAATGTTGGCACGGTGCTTTCCATGACTGTTCCCATGTTACCTATCTTATGTATTCTCACAGTTCAGTAGGTATATCATAGGTCCTAGGTCATCATAAAATAAATGTTTATAAAGAAATGCTTTCAAGTGTCTTCACTGTATTATTTACTCATTTAATCACCGTTTCTCAAAGATACTTAGATGGTTGTTGTGCATTATGTAGTGGAAGCAGGGCGGAGTGTGAATAATTCAATGGGATAGAATGCTGGCAAAAAGCATGGAGTGTGCGGAAAAATGAATGCAGCAGTGGATAGTGTTCGTAAACACGGCAAACTATTATCGTACCTGTACTTCTTCTAGTATAAACCCAACCCCCCTGATCACAAATTTGGGCAAACTTCGGCATCCCCGGGGGAATCCCCTTTTCAACAACAAGGCCAAATTTTTTCGCATTTTATGACTCATGAAAGTTATTACACTGTAGGGTTTTGCCTGAGGAAAGGCTGGTATGTAAAATTAGGCATTCCCTATAAAGTAGGAGGTGGGATTTATACCTGAAGACCTACAATATTAGCGCAGTACTACTGTATACTGGAGTCTACAGTGTGGACTGAATTGAGCCTCTGGATTACTGATTTATTTGGAGAAAAATTTTGCCAGTCTTTCATTAGGCTCATGAGCATCAATGAAAGCAAATTTAGGGTATTAGGGCACACTTACCACACCCCTTATTTTTGGTAAAATAATTTTTTGTACAGTGTATCCATTAGAAAGGCCCTCTGTACTTCTGCCAGGAGCTCTAATATACCTTAAGACCCTAGCTCAAGTCGCACATTAATGCCTCTCCCATTTCTTAGCAGGTTGGACCAGCCCCTGTGTATCATTTGAATTTGAAAGTGATAATCTCTAATTTCACACTTTAACCTTTGACATTAATCAAAGCAACAATAAACAAAATTTGCTTCAAAAACAACAAAAGAAACCCAACAATTTCACAGATGACTGAATTCCAAATATGGAAATGAACAAAAATCTAAAATCAGTCAAAGCATTAACAAAGAAAGTAACTGAACAGGTGACTTCCTTCCAGTCTGCAATGATAAAAATACATACGAAGACGGTAGAAACGTCTAGCTGTGCGTTGCGAGGGTGCTGGGTCTGGTTGGTCAGAGCCGAATATGTTGCTCCTAGTACTTATGTCTGTTATGGTGCCAGAACGGAGAACAATTATTATCTAGTGAGTTACTATCATTGATATCAAAGTGTTTCGTCTACTATGCCGCCACTCTTTTGTCTTTCACAATAAAACATAATACAGCTGTTGTTTAGTCTCTGATAAAGCATAAATGAAGCATTTTTTATTTTGTCAATGAACTTGGGTCACATGGGTACACACAATGAGTGAACTGATAATCACTCGGGCAACTTCATCAACAATTAAAAATGAATATAATACAGAGGCGGATCCAGAGATTTTCTGATGGGGAAGGGGGAACAATATGAAGTTCATGCCGCCACGCCTACCTCCGTCCCACCATGGTTGGTGTAAATAAGTGGTAAACAAATGAGCTCTCCTTTCTCCCACTGCTGGAGCGCCACTGAACTCATGAGTGCACTCCCTTTTTCCTCTTTCCTCTCTTTAACTCAAATTTTTCTCACTCTTTTATTTTTCCGGCTTGACCGACAGGGGGACACAGGTCTTCATGGCCCCCGCTGGATCCGCGCCTGCAATATTACCGTACAATGAAGAAAGTTACTCTCACTTCAAACAGCAAGTAGTATGGAGCAGACTACTAAATTTTATTTGACAAAAGCATGTGATATGCCTAAATATGGTATGGTGACATCACATGATCATGACCATGATCATGACCATTATAAACACATAATGACTAAACATGAGATATAGGATTCAAACCATAACCTTTGGATTAGAAAGTAGGCAGCTTCCACCACCACCGCCAAACAAAAGCATCACATCACTTTGCATGTAATATTAAGGTAAGAAACATTCAAGGTAACATAGATGATGCAATTTTCTGTATAAAACAATTAAATTCTTAAAATCTTTCATCCCAGCAATGGTGAGTACTGAGAAAGAGACATTTTAAACCCAGGATTTTTTTAAGCAGCATTGATGAAATAGGTACTATATAAACCATGTGAAAACATTACATGTTACCCTCTAATTAAAGACCCTCCAATTAAAAACCACCTCTAATTAAAGACCACTTTTTGAGGTCCCAAATTAACAAATGTCTTTTATCATTATTATTCTAGAGACCAAAGCTACTAAACACTACAGAAACCCTGGTCCCAAAAGTGATCTTAATACTTGAGAGGGTGACCTGTAGATATACAGTATCTGACACATGCAGTGGTGGGAAAATTTATCATTATGGCATCTCCGAATGGCCGGGAATTGTATTTGAATATAACTTTCCTCTTTTCTCCATTCAGAAAAAAAATCATAATTATGAAAACTTTAGGGAGGAGCCCAGGCCAGATGGGCCCCACTTGAAACTGCCACTAGCAAGCATTAACATTTATTCATTAGGGAAGATCAGGACTTGGAGTACTATTTTTTGTCAAACAGCAAAAATAAATATCAAAATAATTTATTTGCATTTATCCTGTTCTGACTATTGCCGGGATGTTTACTTACAACAAAAAATTTAGAGATTTATATCAATTGGTACTTCTCATTAGGAAGGAGATAGTCAGCATTGTTTTTCTAGTGGCCAGGAATCAATGAAATGAAAGTGTACATAACAACCATCGAAAATATGGAATGCTCAAATTGATATTTAGTGAACATACATAATGTACAGTGAATCTAATTAGGTATTTTCACCAACACAAAATGCATACAAGCATACAAAGATAAACTACTGTATAATTATAGGAAGGTTGTTGCGTATGCATCGAGGACAGTTCATTTGAAAGAAGCCGACAGCTAAATTATTTACACGTCAAGAGAAATCACAATTTTTACAAGCTTCAATAAAGAGTAAAGACTGTGCCCATATTGGGTCATGTGATCATCCGAAAACACTATCCTGGAATCCTGCCAAATGTCTATCAAATATTGTTTCAATTATAAAGTATTATAATAGAAATTATAAAGTATTATAATAGAAATATCAAATTATTATGTTATTTTTAATATAGAAAAAAAAATCAAATTTACTATTTTTCAGCTACTGTATTAAGTATTATTTATCATAACAAATACCAATAACTTTCATGTCTTTACTATACTGATTAATGAAGTATTACTTATGATTGCTTACTGATATAATGCCATACTGTTGTAGATGTGTATAGACCCGAGCCTTGGTGTTTAAGCCAACCCTTACTATTGAGTACGCTCTATGTGCAAAAATGTGGCAACATTAGGTAGAGGCCTACTGTACACCTAATTACAAAGCTTTGGAACAAATATTTTATACTGCTGTGTGCCTCAGGATAACAATTTTGAAAGTAAACTGAACTAGGTATATTTAAAATAAAATTTATTGAAATTAAGAAATGAAATGCTACCTAGTCCTTTCTGAGAGGTATACTCTTAGGCTATCAAATATTTGTGAGGTACTCTAGGCTACTATGTAGCATTTTTATTTATTGTACTGTACTAGGCCCTCTACTGCTTGAACTTTCAGATCACCAGGTACAAGTCAACCCCCTCAACTTACCCAATTTCGTGGTCATGGACCACCTTAGGTGGGCTTAACATTGAACAAAGAGCTATCAGTATCCTACTACTAAAGTATAAATTATGCAAATTATTGCAGCTCATGAAAGTAAAAGAATTTAAATATTCATGAATATTCATGTTAGTGGTTGTTAGCTTGGATAATCTTATCAAACAACCACCGCACAAAACTTAATGAAAACAAAAAAAAAATAGTTTGAGGGAGAATTAGAAACCTCAAGGATAATACTAAAAAAGGAAAGGATTATCATTATCTCTAGTTGTCGGGGACAACAAACGCAAACCGTGAAGTACAGGATTATCTTTTAAGCAATTAATTCCACGTGGAATATCATCTTAGTAGCATGATAGTCACTCTTAATATTTCATTAATCTGTTTTTATAATTAATTTCTACAAGGGAATATTAACACCAATTAGATTTTATACACAATATGAGTTCAGAAAAAACATTTCTCCATCAGAAAGAAATGGAAAAATTTTCAGAAGTTTATAAAATATCAATATCATCCATTTTATATGCAAATGTTTGACGGCGAATTCTTAAAGGAAAAAAAAGTGTAACAGTCTACAAATTTCAAAAAACTTGCACAAGATTCGGGAGAGATTTTAAAAAGAATTAAATAATAAAGTTTGCATGTTTAATATCTAAATAGAAAAATGAAAAGTATGAGAATATACTGTACGCAATAATATAGCCAGTGTGATATGAAATATGAAATATGGTCCTTGTTCTTTATCATCATCGACTGACTTTCAACTGATGTGCGTTATTCCTCAAGAGTAGCACTACAGCGAGTCTACCTAAAATTGTTATCGCAGTATGATCATTTGGGCAAGACCCCTTGTTTATATATTTGATAGACCCCGGTCAATTTCTAAAGGTGATCCATATTTCAGAGCACACTAAAGGGATTGGGATAGGGGAAACTAGTGGTGTTGAAAAATTGCCATGTGGAATCAACATACATTTAGGTTTAGCTGACTGTGCTGGTGCGCCAATTTGAACATTACTGCTCTGTGCGGGCTTCTGTCTTGCTGGGGCAGATTTCTCCTCAGCTGTACCAAATATATTGTTGGATCGTCCACCCGGTGGATTCAACACTCTAAAAAAAATAGAAAGAGAACATAAAATAAATAATTTTTTTTTAAATGTTATATTTACATACAGTAAACTCATATTTTATTTGGGTCATTTCAGCTCAAATCAGCCATAAATTTGAAAGTTCCCATGTGACCCCAAAGTTTGCAAATTAGAGCAATAATAAAGGTATGATGGGGTCCCGAACATGGTTGCAGGACCAATGACCCTAAAAATAAATACCCCCTACCAGATGACCCAATGGGCACTTAATATTAATATTAATTATGAAATTTATACCAGTACACAGATATACATATCATCATTCTAAGGAGAAAGGTTAAACTTTGTTTCTTAACACCTTCAGTGTGAAATGATTTTTTAAAAATTGACAGATTTCATGTATTATAAATATCAGGTCAAGGGTCACATTACAAATAAGTCAGTATTTTCAACTTTTTATCTTTGTTATTTCCAGAGTCAAAGGAGCCATTTCTTGCATGAAAAAGGGGGCGTGTCACCTAAATTTCAAAATTCATAACTTTAAAACTGCTTGGAAATTGAAGTTGAAATTAGACATATTAAAGGTATTTTTAGAAATTTTTTTTCAGGAAAATCCAAGGGGGGTTCACATGGGCATGGTGGTTGATTTGAGTCGGAATGACCAATTTACATTATTATTAAATTGTATAATATTTTATTTTATGCGCAATTATTTGTTTTAATTATTAATAAGACTGTATGATGTGATATTTGTTTATACATAGGCCTACTGTGCAGTAGATATAGGTAACCCATGTTATTCTAAATGCCAATTAACTGATTCTACATACCATAACAGTACAATAAATTATCTTGAACCAATACATTCTAATTATGATGTGACAAGGGAGAGAACCTCAATTGTACCAGTGTCACAAAGTACTGTGGGCAGTGGTGACAAGGTGGGGGGGGGGGCCCAAAAGAAGCATTTACCATCTTGTCGGACAAGCTACTGTAAGGGATGGACATAGTCAATTTAAATTTTTTTAAATAATAATTTGCCTATCCAATTATTCTGATTGCAAATCCCTAAATGATGTGGTCTAAAAGCACAATTTGGACCATACTATTATCTCTAAAAACTCTTATGAACCCTATTTGGGATTTTTTATTCCTAGACCAAAACCAAGGCTATAGTCGACCTCGCCAGACCCCTTATCGGCAAAGATCTGGTGCCACCGCTGAATGTAGGCAATGGCAAATTATGGATGTGGGGAGCTTCGGTCTCTTATACACATCTAGATGTGTATAAGAGACAGAAGTACGGGATTATTGGTTTTAAGTGGTGGGGTTGGAGATGTTCTCATACCTACTGTAGGGATCGAGGACATGCCCCCTGGAACCGCCAGAGTTTTAACAATTTCAGTCCCTTTATCACTAAATAATTTCAGACGTGGTTTAGAGAATTTTTTACTGCTGCAAGGGGAGGAAGAACCCCTTTTCTCACCCCTTGGATTCACCACTGTATATCAACCTTAACTGTCCCTCTATATTACATGATTAATGTTAATTTTATAGTGAGTCATGCTGACATGTAAAGTAACATGGAATCATATGAGATCTCAAAATATATCAATAATCTGGCAGTTAATTTTAGCCTTGTGGATGTGAGTGATGTTGAGTCCCTTCAAAAATATTAAATTATTTTGTCACGGTAAAATGTATTCATCTATAAAAAAAAATTCAGTGTTCATTTAATACATTATAAAAATATTAAAATTGTTTAAAACAGATAAATAAGGTTTAAAATGAAACAAAAACCAATTACAAAAATATGGAAATATAAGATTTTATTGTATGGGCTTTTAATTATTGTTGTTTTAATAGAATTTACAGTATATTGTATGGCAGGTTCTTTGTATTTTCTTCGCAATTTAAAGCCAATTTTCGAATTTATATTTTTAATATGAGTTTGAACATAAAGAAAAATATCAAAAACATTTAAATAAAATTTCGTAAAAAACAGCACATTATCATAAAACTATTATGTAAGAAAATGAAACAAAGTGTACGCAATCACTCTGAATATTAAATTATCAGGTTATTAAATATTTTACATAAACTACAACATTATAAAAAATCTCAGTTCAATATTTTTTATGTAGTTTTCAGTAGCTCTATTATTTGCGTACTGTAATTGGTAAGGAAATATTTTCTTAATACAAATATTTAATTACATTCTATAAAAATGCGAGTTTAAATAAATTAATGCGAGCTTAAATAAATTATAGTTGAATCAATAAAAAACAAAGAAAGTACAGACCAATAAATTTGGGTCACAGGTCATTCCAGCTTTTATTGAATGAATGTCATGAGTCATTGACAAAACCTGTCATTTATAGCATTTCATTTGGATGTACATCTTGTATTTAGTGCCATCAATCTCAATAAAAATACGAGCACTTAAAAACAAATTAATCAACAACATTAATTTGCTTTGTAGTACAGTATAGTACTTCTACTCAGGGAAAAAATGCTCAGAAATTGTGTGATTGCAATTTTAAGATTCTAAAAGCAGCGTTCTGCAAACTTTTAGACTGACGATCCACTTTCATAGTTCAGCTGTGCTGGGCCAACATCGTGCTAGTAATTATGCAAAACATGTTTCATTTCAGTGTATTTTAACTCGCCCTGGTTTTACTATATACGGTTTACCTAAAAGATGTGTCATTTAATTTGGATTAATACTTTATAAAAATGTTATGTTTAAATACAGTCAATTTTAACAATTACAAAATAACACATTGTTTCATGCATATCAGTGCCAATATATTAAAGCGACAGGCTAGAGCTAACAGATTTCTGTCAAATTTGTGACCCATCGAAATAATAATTTGGCAAACCACAGTTCGCAGAACGTTGCTTTGCACAGTAAATTGTGTAATAATAATAATTTGAAAAAAGATGGACCAAATTTTCAAGGTGACTGAATTTAGAAGAAAGTGACCGTAGTAAAATACTCAAAACATTCCAACAATGAATTCGTTTGGAAATCACAATATCATTATAAACTGAACAAATCTGTCAAGCTTTATCGGCAAAACCGCGAACTAATTTGTGTTCTAATTTGTGAAATGCTCAATGAGGTGTGTGTGTGTGTGCTATTTCAAATAATTAAAAGGATGGTTAAATGCAGAGTTAAGCAAAATAGCGGCTTTTGAATTGCAGCCTGTTAATAGTACATTTCGGAGGTAATCAACCAGAATAACAACTGACAATTAATTTAGGTAAAGCTTTCATAAAGGATAATTTGCCTTTTAACAAATTTAAACACATTTTAGCCAGTAGCAGCATCAACTAAGGTTTCCCCTCCCACACCCGTCAGGAAGCCCTTCACCCAGATCGAAGTAGAAAACAATTTAATTTCATTGGGGAACTGCTTTGAAAAAGCATCGTCCTTTTTACACCAGTACAGGTAGCTCTATGAAGTGGAGTTGAATAGCTTTTAGTGGTTTTAACTTAAAAGTTGCTTGATTTCTTATCCTGGGTTCAATTCCTGAGATGGTAGGATTTTTTCTCACAACTATAAACAACTCCATTCCCTAAGCCTCATAAACAGACTTCGCTGATAAAGCATCGCATTATTTCATTTATTTAAAGAGGGTCCTGAATACCAGCCAACTTACAGTACTAAAGATATGCTGGAAGGGTCTCCCTCTAAAAATATGGTAAAAATTTAAAAAAATTAAAAAGAACCTAATTTCACTCAAATGCCACATCCTCCAAATTGTCTGTGTACTTCCGGCGGCCCACTGGTTATTTCTTTCAGCTGAGGAAAAGGTCAGATACAGGTCGCGGTTACCAACTCTCAGCTAGCAGGCCACAGCTATGCAACCACTTGTTTACCACTACAGTAGACATGTGTACAACACATTGATTTCTCACACCTCAACATCAGGCATAATTAATTGACACGCTTTATGCATGTGTAAGTCTGTGTTTCATTTGCAATAGCTTGATTGAAAACAAAGACTCAAATGCTAAGCCCAACAGGACACTATCTGTGTATACCTCTATGGTCTGTGTGAGCTAAAAATAAAATCCTATGTTTGTGAATGTACTACTTTGTGTACTATTAACTTCCATTTAAAATTGAATAAATAATGAAGTACATCTTTAGTCATTACAGGTGTTTTGGGTGAGTTTTAAAGATAATATTTACTTTTTAAATTTATAAAAAATACTTATTTCGAATACTTAATAATTGTTACCCAAGGCACAGATAGTAAAAATTTGCAATCAAAGTTGTTTCGGTTTGGGAATGGGCTAATACCGAAGTCATTAGGCCTACAGTTGAACATTAGCTTCAGAAGGGAAAAAAATTGGTATGTTGTACAGCTGTCTCTTATACACATCTAGATGTGTATAAGAGACAGGAATGAATGTCATGAGTCATTGACAAAACCTGTCATTTTATAGCATTTCATTTGGATGTACAAGATGTGTATAAGAGACAGGTACTGTAGCTTTATCGGCAAAACCGCGAACTAATTTGTGTTCTAATTTGTGAAATGCTCAATGAGGTGTGTGTGTGTGTGCTATTTCAAATAATTAAAAGGATGGTTAAATGCAGAGTTAAGCAAAATAGCGGCTTTTGAATTGCAGCCTGTTAATAGTAGATTTCGGAGGCAATCAACCAGAATAACAACTGACAATTAATTTAGGTAAAGCTTTCATAAAGGATAATTTGCCTTTTAACAAATTTAAACACACATTTTAGCCAGTAGCAGCATCAACTAAGGTTTCCCCTCCCACACCCGTCGGGAAGCCCTTCACCCAGGACGAAGTAGAAAACAATCATTTCATTGGGGAACTGCTTTGAAAAAGCATCGTCCTTTTTACACCAGTACAGGTAGCTCTATGAAGTGGAGTTGAATAGCTTTTAGTGGTTTTAACTTAAAAGTTGCTTGATTTCTAATCCTGGGTTCAATTCCTGTGATGGTACGATTTTTTCTCACAACTATAAACAACTCCATTCCCTAA